CACACATCACACACACACACACACACATACACACACACACACACACACACACATATATATATATATATTATTTTAATTCCAGGTCATGCAGATATTTCAAAAATCAATAATAAAACAACATTGTCCACAATATCGTTAGCGCAATCAGGATGTATCAAGATATATCAATTGTGGTGTATAAATATTTAAATACTTTAATTTTATGTTAAACTTTTTTATATTTTTTTCATGTAATTGTATTTTCAAAAATACTTAAAAATAATTATAAAGAAAATAGTAATTCATAACAGTTCAGAGAATTACTTCGTTTGGAGATGAATAGTTTATGAATTAACATGATTTCTAATTTCATTTTATATAATTTTATAGAATATAATTTTATAGAAATACAGAAAATATATATGCGTGTACATTACGTGCGTGCATATGCATGCAATATAATTTTAATTGGTCAAATGTCATGTAATATATACATGTAATATATACATACATAATACATTATCCTATATCTTGTACCAGATAATTAAATAATATATTTTTGTTTTTTCATTTCATATCTAATTATACGATACGTTTTATATGTGCAATTTATCTCTCGTAAAATTACTAATATTAATTTCTTTTTCAGACACATGAAATTGTTTAAGAAGGAGCATTTATTTTTAGTATAGCTACGTTATTATGAAAGCAACTTTTGTCTATCATTTGGTTTTTATACATCGTTTTTCTTCTTCGTTTTAATTCTTTTAAACGAAGAAACTCATGTGTGAATCTCTCATAAACGTTTTATTATTAATATTATTATTATTTTCCAAAATACAAGTTTTGTTCCATGGATCAAATAATATTGAGCTGATGCAAGAAATTAATTATTACTAAATTATGATTGAATATTCAATAAAGTCATAATGCGGGACTATTTAGGTGAGTTACATGCAAAATACAAATTTATGCAACATTTTTAATCTTATGTGTCTATGTTGTGTCAAATGGAATTTAACTAAATCATCGAATAATATTTTTATATGCAGAATAATAATATCGATCGAGACAATAAATTTTGTTGTGTCGTTTAAGTTTAAATAAAATAAAAATAGTTTCAATATCTTTAAAAAAGTAGATGACAAAAATTATTCTTATTCGACATATTTTTCATAAAATAAAATATTGTATTTTCATTTAGATGCAAGAAAAAAAAATATTGAGTACACGTGAATCATTATATATATATATATATATATATATATATATATATA